ATGCCAGGAGAAAAATCTTCAATTATCTTTCTACTAATTTAAGCTAGTATAGTGATTTGATTCTTTTCCTGAATAACTCAATAATATCTCTGTAGATATCCTCAAATTACAGAATTTACTCCTTGGTTAAACCCACACATGGAAATTTCAGATGCTCAAAAGAGTATTTTTAGGAAACAATGTGAACTTAGTTCACTAGAGAGTTAAAATGGCAGTGCTATCTAAATAAATGTCAGTATTAGCCTTGCTTCTACACAAGTGGAGCTGGGCTGCTGGCTGACCAGGATATTCCCATCTTTCGGAACTCAGTTCACAGTTACTTCTTTTCAAACACAGATGATGGCTTTTTTTCCTGTCAAACTGGAAAGATGTTACTTTGTGGAGTTTTTACAAGTGTTAGTCATAGATTGACTTTTAGGGGAACACAGAGAAGGATGAGAAGGCTCTACATCACTGACTTCTAAATCATATTAGAAATTACATTGACTTAAGTTCTGAGTTTTGCATAATTCTATTACAAGGAATTTTCAAAGAATCACTATTTGAATGCTTAGCATTTTTTTAAAAGTACATCCATTTAATAGCCAGAAAAATCAGTGAACCATTAAAAACTGAAGTCCAAAAATACCTCTCTTACATAAATCCCTACACCTGAGGGTATAACCGATCTGCATTTTTTTTCAATGTAACAAAACTTGCATTTCATTCCTGTCTTGTAACAATGGAGCAGTAATTGAGAGGATCAAAAGCATGCTTTCCACAATAATTTTTTGCTACTGCTGGTCTTTATCCTGAGGCTTTAGAAGGTTCTGATTGAATCAATGACTTTGATTTTTTCCACTTTGTTTCAAAGGAAGAAATTTTTTTAAATTATTTATTTTTTTAAATATAGCTTATCAGATAAATTCCATTAAGGTATGAGAGACTGCTTATTAGAGTTCAGATGATAGATATGCTTAAAAGGCAGTGTGTCAAAAGTCAGATTTCTTTAAAATAACTGATTTATGTTACTGCATTTTTTGGTTCTAAAACCAAGTTCAATTTGCTTGACCCTCCTGGCATTAATAAACCCACTACACCTTCATTTCATAGAATCATAGAAAAGTTTTATTTGGAAGGGACCTTAAAGGTCATCTAGTTCAAACCCCCTTGCATGGGCAGAGACACATCCTGCTAGAGCAGATTTCTTAGAGCACCATCCAACCTGGCCTTGAAAGCTTCCAGGGATGGAGCTTCCACAACTTTCCTGGGCAGCCTGTGCTAGTGTCTCACCACCCTCACACTAAAGAATTTCCTCCTAATATCTAACCTATATCTCCCCTCCTTCAGTTTTGATCCATTACCCCTTGTCCTCTCACTACCAGCCCGTGTAAGAAGCCCCTCCCCTGCTTTCCCCTTTCAAGTACTGGAAGGTGCTCTAAGGTCTCCCCAAAGCCTTCTCTTCTCCAGGCTGAACAGCCCCAACTCTCTTAGCCTGTCCTTGTAGGAGAGGTGCTCTAGCCCTCAGATCATCTTCATGGCCCTCCTCTGGACTGCCTCCAGGAGTTCCATGTCCTTATGTTGGGGGCTCCAGAGCTGGACACAGTAGTCCAGGTGGGGTCTTACGAGAACTCAGTGAAGGAGGAGAATCACCTCCCCTGACCTGCTGGCCATGCTTCATTTGATGCAGCTGAGGGCACAGTTGGCTTTCTGGGCTGTAGGAGCACATTGCCAGCTCACGTTAAGCTTCTCGTCCACCATCACTCCTAAGTCCTCCTCTGGACTATTTTGGATCCATTCTCCACCCAGCCTGTATTTGTGCCTGGGGTTGCCCTGACCTAGGTGCTGGACCTTGCACTTGACCTTGTTAAACTTCATACAGTTTGCTCAAGCCCACTTCTCAAGCCTGTCAAGGTGCCTCTGAATGGCATCCCTTCTCTCCAGCATGTCAACCTCACCACACACTTTGGTGTCATCAGTGAGCACTGGTCCAAATAGTGACTTTTGGGGAACACCACTCACCACAGGTCTCCATCTGGACATCGAGGTGTTGATCACCACTCTTTGAGTGGGACCATCCAGCCAGTTCCTTGCCCAAGGAGTGGTCCATCCATCAAATCTGTACTGTTCCAGTTTTGATACAAGTGTGTTGTGCAGGACAGTGCTGAAGACTTTGCACAGGTCCAGGTAGATGACATCGGTTGCTCTTCCTTTTCCCACTGATGCCAAGACCTCATTGCAGAAGGCCACCAGATTACTTAGACAGGATTTGCCCTTGGTGAAGCTGTGTTGGCTGTACCCAGTCACCCCTTTGTTTTCTATGTGCCTTAGCAGAGCCTTCAGGAGGATCTGCTCCATGATCTTGCCAGACCCAGAGGTGATACTGACTGGTCTATAGTTCCCTGGGTCTTCCTTTTTTCCCTTTTTTTGGGGGAGTTATGTTTCTCCTTTTCCAGTCAGTGGGAATTTCTCCAGACTGCCAAGACTTTACAAATGCTATGGACAGAGGCTTTGCAGTTTCATCAGCCAGTTCCTTCAGGAGCTGTGGATGAATCCTGTCAGGTCCCATGGACTTGTGCACCTTCAGGTCCTTTAGATGGTCACAAACCTGCTCTTCTTTTCACAGTCCATGTCTGCTTACCTACGTGACAAAATTTTTGCTTATTTTAATTTGAGAGGTTCCTGTGCTTACAAATAAAGATGTAGAAAATGTACAAATAGGAATGATCAGCTAGAGTTGCCTACATGGAAACACTAGATGCTGGACCTACAGGGAAGTCGGTAGGGACAGGCATTTCAATATGATTTTAGGAATGTTACAGCAGTGTCACATGAAAGGGCTTTTTGTCACTGTTGTTGTTACTGGATTCAAATATAAGTATGTCCCTGATTTAACCTTTGTGGTAGAGGCCATGAATGAGCTTCACACAGGTGCACTGGTCATCATTCCTGGTATCTGCTTAAGTTTCTGTGCCAATTGCTGTTAGGGAATCTATGAAATTGTGTCCCTGGTAACGTATCAGGCACTGGTGAATTGGTGAATTCCCTGTTCAATTAAAGTGGCAAGATGCTTGCTGTTCACCTGGCTCCTGTTGCTGTCCACATGGCATGTGTCATTGTTAAATTGGACCAAAACTCCCTACTTTAATCTCCACACTCCTGGACACCCCTTCTGCTTAGGAATGATCAAATAACTTCAGGTTTGAGTTCTTTGTTCTGAAACTCCTTCTTCTTTCTCTCTTCCCTGAAGAGGCAGGTGATGAAAGACAAGAGGAAGACACAGTTTAAGACAAATGAAGCTGAGAAATTATTTTTAAAACTCAGGCTCCCAGCCAGAAAGGGGAGGCAAGGCCAACCAGGGCTCTCCCCAGCAGGTAGAGATCCTCACAGCTCCTTACAGATCAGTGAAAGTGTGTCCCGTTAATGTAGGCCAATCTCAGAGCTTATCCTTTCCTCCCCCCAGCTGTCAGGATTTCCTAAGTAATTTCCCGAGTAATCCAGCCTCAGGCATCAAGGAGAAGGGGGTTGGGAATCAGCCAGGCTCTAAGAGAGTGGCAAGAAGGTTTATGACCTTCTTTGAAGGTTTTCTCTGCTCACTCTTGTTTTCTTTCATATCTCTCTCATTTGTTTTGTGACTTTCACTGTGTAAGGTCCGTTTCTTCTCCCAGCAAAGTTGTGAGGGGTTTGTCATCCATTCCAGTGGGACCACAAATAAACTATAATCAAAAAGCTGCTCTCTTCAGCCTTTCTTTGCCAAGTTGGTCCTGCCAAGTTTAGTTTAACTTTTTTTTTGTTTTCTTAGAGAAAATAATAAATAAATACATTTGACTAAAAGCCAGACTGATTCATTCAACCAAAAGGAAATGGTTCATTTGGAGGCACCTCTAGGGAAAACAAATAGAAAATCTGCATTTAAAAATGAGGAGTAAAGGTGCTGATGGGTCCTGGTTTTAATCCAGAAATTCATTTTTTAAGGTATACCAGGGTGTAGGAGACCCAGGTTCAGTTCTGGGAGAATCTGAAGCCATGTCTTTGCAAGGGAGAGCCTGACCTGCAACCAGCTCCTAGCAAGCTCTAAAGGAGGAGTGTCCTCCCCTCAGACCTTCACATTCATTCAGTTTGGCTCCATATAAATACACATTTGTCAGGGCAAGGCTCAGAAACTAGGGATATCCTGTTTGGGTGAGTGAGCTGACCATCATGCTAGAGAAACCCTCATTTCTGCCTCAATAATGTTTCAAGTAATTAATGTCATGCAGAACAGTTAGATCAGGAGGGGTTGAAGGAATCACATCTCCACCATCAGTAACCTTGGACTGCAAACTACTTGAAACCTCCTTAGAAAAGATCTGTGTCTTCCAGGAGGGAGCCTGACCTGCCCCCCATGGATTGCTTTGGATTATCCAGTAGCCCCTACACAACCAGAGCCACAGACCAGCATAGCTGTGCTCCTGTCACACAACAGGATCTTACTTCAATGCTTGTGGCTGGTGTGCAGGGAGAGAGAGAGGCGGAGCAGCCTCTGCTTGTGTCACATTTAGTACATGGTTTCTCTCTAGCAAGGTCTAGTTGCATCTTATATTTGTCCTTGGTCTGAATAACTTCTAGAAATGGCTCTTAATCCTGAATAGAAGCCCCTTCTGACCAAGGTGGGTATGCAGTTATCCCTTTGTCAGGCATGTGTCTCCTCTCACTTTATGGAGAGACTACAGAAGGTGCAGTGTTTTCTCTTAAGACTTCAGTACAAAAGACAGATACAAATTAACAAAATGGAGACTGCTATATTTCCAATATTGGTGTCCATGTACTTGGGCTGTAAAAGACTCCGCGAGGACAGTCCTTAACAGATTTTGTGTCAGAACCAGATTACTGAATTACCTTCATTGTCCCTCTCATCTCTCACTGAAATGTGGTCAAACAAATTGCCCTTTGGCAGTGGGTGTAGGAAATTGCCGCCTGGTTCTTACTCACAAGCAATTGTCTGATTTGCTTTCCTTTATTGCCTTTATTTCCTTTTGCAGGGAAGGCTGCTTCTCCCCCATCAGCCCAGAGGCATGTCCCCTCGTGCAGTCTTTCATCTGCCATGACCGCACATTCATCCTGGACGGCCACGTGCAGCTGAAGACGGGTCTGCAAACCCAGGAGCGACACCTGTTCCTCTTCACAGACCTCCTGGTTGTTGCCAAGTCCAAGTGAGTATGGCACCTCAGGCACTGCTCCTACAGAGCAGCCTTTTTTTCTCATCAGAGCATTAAATGCATTTCCATAATGCTTTTTTTGGCAGCAAATCTTTCTTAAATCATAAATAAGCTTCTAATTTGGTCAATGACAGTTAGACACTTGACCTCTTCAGGCACCTTTGAAAACCCCTTTAGCCACAGAGGAATTCCAGGAAGTATCAGATGTTCTTGAATATATTGCTTGTGTTGTATCATCTTCCCTGCTTTGGGAGTGCAGTGTCATAGAAAGGACTCATCAGTGTTAACCGAGATTGCCAAATCCACCACTAAACCATGTCCCTAAGCACCACATCTACGTGTCTTTTTAATACCCTCAGGAATGGTGACTCCATCACCTCGCTGGGCAGCCTGTTCCAGTGCCTGACAACCCTTTCAGTGAAGACATTTTTCCTAATATCCAATATAAATCTCCTTTGGCACAACTTGAGGCTTTTTCCTCTTGTTCTAGGACTTGTTACTAGGAAGAAAAAAACAACCCCCACCTCATTACAACCTCTTTTCAGGTAGTCGTAGAGAGCAATAAGGTCTCACCTCAGCCTCCTCTTCTCTAGACTAAGCAACCACGGTTCCTGCAGCTGCTCCTCAAAAGACTTGTTATCCAGATCCTTCACAAGCTTTGTTGCCCTTCTCTGGACATGCTCAAGCACCTTCTTGAAGTCAGGTCCCCAAAACTGAACACAGGATTTGAGATGCAGCCTCACCAGTGCCAATACAGGGTGACAATCACCTCTCTACTCCTGCTGGTCACACTATTTTAAATGCAGGCCAGGATGCCATTGGCTTTTTTGGCCACCTGCTGGCTCATACTCAGCACCCCCAGATCCTTTTCTGCTGGGCAGCTTTCCTGCCACTCTTCCCCAAGCCTGTAGCATTGCCTGGGGTTGTTGTGACCCAAGTGCAGGACCCAGTACTTGGCCTTGTTCAACCTCATACAATTAACCTCAGCCCATCTATCCAGCCTGTTCAGGTCCATCTGTAGAGCTCTGCTACCCTCAAGCAGATCAACACTCCCACCCAACATGGTGTTGTCTGCAAACTCATCAAGGGTGCACTTGATCCCCTCATCCAAATCGCTCTTAAAGATATGAAAGAGAACCAACCTCAATAGTACAGAGAACCAGCCCTGGGGAACACCAGTGCAACCAGTCACCAACTGGATTTAACTCCTAGACTGTTTCTTTTCTATAGTGTTTTATTTCCAACAGGCATCTGGTCCCCAGTGAGAACAAGGGCTGGTGGTCATGAAAATTCTTCCAGGTGCTTATAGAATATTTCGTCTGCCTCTTCATCCTGGTTGGGTGGTTTATAACAGACTCCCACCACGATATCTGCCTTGTGGGCCTTCCCCCTGATTCCTACTCATAAACACTCAACCCTACTATCACCATCATTAAGCTCTAGGTAATCAAAGCACTCTCTAGTGTACAGAGCCACCCCACCACCTCTTCTGCCTTGCCTATCTCTTCTGAAGAGTTTCTAGCCATCTATTGCAGCACTCCAGCTGTGTAAGTCATTCCACCATGTTTCCAAAATGGCAACTGTATCATAGTTTTCCTGGTGCATGAAGGCTTTCAACTCCTCTGTTCGTTGCCAATGCTGCATGCATTGGTGTTGATGCACCTCACTTGGGTTGTAGAACCCATGACCTTTCTGAGGGATGAAGCCAGAATTCCTACCTGATCATTCTCAGGTGCTTCCATGGTTCCTAACCCATCAATAGCCCTTGTGTCTTTGCTGGCACATGGATCTCTACCTCCTGCCTCCAGTGAGATGGCAGGCTGAAGGACCTCACTAGCATAGCAGCCCACAAACATTGGCATGCCACCCCCAGGCTTGGCTCTAGCAAGCCTCGTTTCATCCCCTCCCCCCTTCATATTTAGTTTAAAGCTCTATCAATGAGCCCTGCTAATTCCTGTGCTAAAATCCTTTTCCCACTTTAAGACAGGCATGCCCCATGTGTCACCAGCAGGCCTGACATGTAAACTGCCCCATGATCAAAAATTGCAAAAAACTGTCAGTGACACGAGGCTTGGTGCCAGGTATTGATCTGTTGGTTAATCCTGTTTCTTCCCTCATCATTCCCTGCAGCTGGAGTGATAGAGGAGAACAGTACTTGTGCTCCTGATCCCTTAACTAGTTGACCCAAGGCCCTAAAGTCTCTCTTGATTGCCTTCAGACTTCTTGTAGCAACTTCATTGCTGCCTACCTGAAAAACCAGTAACGGGTAATAATCTGAGGGCCATATCAGGGTAGGAAGCTTTCTCTACAGATCTTTAACCTGGGCCCCAGGGAGGCAGTGTCTCCTCTCAGCAGTGTTGAGCCTTCTGTTCCCTTCAGAAGGGAGTTTCCTAAGGAGGCAGTTTTGATGAGCCTCTGGGCTGAATGAACCCTCATCCTCCCCATTGCTCAGTGCCACTTGCAGAGCTGCATACCTGTTCTGTGGGGGCATCTGGAAGGTTGGGTGAGTCACAGGGAGACGCCTTGTTGTCATTGCCCCCTGCCCCTTAAGTCCCTGCGGTCAGCCAGGCAGAGAGAGGGAAGGGAGTCCCCCGGATCATGTGTCCTTTCTGCCTGTTAAGCCTGTTCCATCTCCAGTCCTACGGGATGGGTGTAACGTGGGTGGCTGTGTCACAGAGGTGCTACAGGTCTTGATGCTTACCTGGAAGCTGTTTTGAAACACAGCAACGGTGAGTAGCTGTATGAAAACAGAGATTGCAGGTGGCACCGCAGGGTCCATCTCTGCGTGTCATGCTGTGCCAGGAGAAGTGTGGGGAAGGGGAAGGAAAAAGGAAGCGATGCTAAGCAGTCTGAATAGTGTCCGTGTGTAATCAGGCTTGCTGCTCAGCTCTCATTATTCACTCTACCATTCACAATTAAATCAGATTTACAAGCTGTGTTTAGCTTGCCAGCTTTGTGCAGCATTTGTGGTTTAAGGCAATTTTAGAGGGTGCTTTCACTTGTTGTTATGGGGAAATAATAATAAAAAGCTGTGATGTGGCTTCATTCTCTGTTAGGCACTGTGTTTGTGGTTTGCACAGGGTGGGTAATCTACATGTGAATCCTGGGCTTTTGCAATGTGTCTCTTTGCTTAAGCAATTGTTTCAGAGGCTGCTGGGAAAGCCAGAATAAATCTGTGTTTTTTGTAGAAATCTGAGCTGTGCCTATTTGAATCAAACATAGTAAATGTAACTCCCCCCAGCTGAACTCCTTCACTTGATGTACTGTGACAATACAGAGGAGATCTTACCCAAAACATGTTCCACTACAGGTGGGTGGTGAACATAAGGATACTTAGGGGAAACCTTCCTATTGCGCCAGCAGTAGCAGTAAAAGAATTGTTACTTTATTTATGTCTGTTTGTATAATTAAAGTTTTCAAGTCACAGTCTCACTAGCTGAGGCCTAAGCTCCTAAACTGTAGAAGACTAAAGTCAGGTGAGATGAATCCCTCCCTCCATGCTCAGCATGCTGAGCAGAAGTGACCGTTACAACTCCAGGCTGAGCCACATGTTACTGCAGGTTTGGCTGGATCCCAGTGGGACTATTTGCATAGCAAAGCACTACGCTGTGTAACCACGCCAAGATCTGATCCACAGGGAGTAGTAACAGCTCTTACAGCATTTGATTTAGTGTGGTGAAGAGTCTGCAATGTTTGAAGAAGGTGGAACAGAACAAACTGTGCTTCTGTCTTTGCTAGAAATGGTAAAAATAGTATTTTGAGTGATATTACTTTGTGTATTTTGAAGAACTAATTGGGATGTTCTCTCTACAGTTGCTCTGTCAGCAATTAAAGCATCAGAGCTGTCACTAATGAATGCTACTTAAAAATCAGCATTTTTAAAGATAACTCTCACTAAAATACCATTGCTGATTCCTACAGGGAAAACCTAAGCAGTGTATATTGCTGTGCAGCTGTGACTATTGATTGTTATTCACTTTTTAATAGCTGATGCACAGTGGAGACAGCAGGTCACCAGGACAGAAATACTGATACAGTTGTATCTGACTTAACTTTAGAATTATTCCTTGTGAAGGTGCTAACAATTTACTGTGTTTTTTGTGTTAAATAGTTTTTCAGCTTGGGGCATATGAGCACCTGAGATATCTTATGGACAGCTTGGCACTGAACGGGTGTTAGCTCACCTGCAGGCAGCCAGTCACTGTACAAAAGGAGCTCATGTGTAATTAGCCTTTGGATGATCATTAAATGGATACAGGTTTTTCCTAAAGAGAGCAACAAGTATTGTGTCCTTTGAGCTTGCAGAGTGAACTCCCATACAGCACCGATATCCTGCTTAAAGACAGCAAATTTGTATTGCTTGCCTGGAGATTGAGGTGGGGTCAGTCCTCTCCACAACCTGTCTGTGACTTTGGACAAGGTGCCTGTGTGTTTGGTTTTTTGCTGCTTTCTAATCAATTTTGAAATGTAGACTGCTTTCTTTCCAGATCATTCATTAGCCCAGCTTATAAAAAATTATATTCATGCTGTGCTTCTTTCTCTGCTGCCCTGTGCTTTACTGCCTTCCTGTGAGGATTAAGTAATAAATTAATTGATTCAAAGCTTTTCTCACTAGTGTTAAGTATGTAACATGTACCGGTTTTTACATATTGATTATATTTCTTACAGATCACATGTGTTTTTATTTGGCAGAGTAAATATTTCAAGAATCTATCAGTTCAAGGATCAAGGTTTCTCACATAAGTTTTCTGTGTGGGTGGCACAGAGAAATGGCTTCCTCTTGCTCCTTTCTATTACATAAATGCATATATACACATGCATTTTAAGGTTATTTTCCCAGTGTAGCTAGACACAGAAATTAATGGTTGGTTACATACATGGAATTACAGTAGCAATCCTACAGTAGATCCATTAATTCTTTTGTCAGAGGGTTCTATTAAGGAGATTAGCAAATCTAGTGAGTAGTTAATCTTCCGTTAATGGCCACAAGGAATCCAATTGCCACTTACAGAAAGCAAAAGGAACTGCATTTACTCATCAGAAGTGGGGCAATTTGGGGTGTGTCAGTACCTACATCATTGATGTTAATGGTGACATGTTCATTCCTAAAGGTAATATTTTGGCACTTAAATAGAAGACCCACATTTCATAAATGTTGAGAACCCATGGATTGCATAGAGGACATGGCAGTTATGGATAAAATTATACTTCAGGCTCTTTAGATGTTAATGCAGGCTACTGTTTCATCACCTCTGGAAACCAGGGAATTCAAGGAAACTTGAATACTGATAGTAGCTTAGAGCTGTGACTAGGCATGGCAAACAGGGTAAGAATATACATCAAGCATGTTTGGAGAACATCTTCGTGCTTCTGCCAACACCCTGCTGACACCCGCTGCTGGCGCTGTGGGGGTCTGGCTTTATGAACTGTAAATGCTTAGAAAGTGAAATAGCATGTAGAGAGTTCACTGTACTGGGTAATGAGAAAAAGAAATTGAAGAGAAAGAGAAGGTCAACAGATGGATTTGGTCAAGTCAGACCAGGCATCCATTTATTAACATCTGCATTAGAATTCATAAGTGTATTTTTTTGTAGATCTACAGCTTTGCAGTTCATTCAGTGGTCAGTCAGTTACAGTTATTTCTGTATTCTTGTCAGATCTTACCTATTGAGTCACAAACTGATACATTGAAGAGCATTTTGCAATGTTCTTCCATATTTTAAATTTCTCTTTGACAGGGTAACAAAATGTAGTAGAGAGAAGTAAAATGTACAATTGACTAGGAAACACTGTGGTATAGTTTAAAAATATACGAACTTCAGATGGTATTATACAGTATTTTATGGTGATCTAATTGAAGTGCACCTTTTTGCCAGGTGTAATATGCACTGCTGGTCTTTTCTTGCCCACCACTGTAAAGGCTGCTGGGTTATTAGTGGTGCTCTATGCCACTGCACCTGTTATCACAATGTCAGCTGGAAACCTCAGAGCTGTCAGGGTTCATCTCAGAGCTGTCAGCTGCAAGTTCATCTATGTCCTCTCTAAAGCTGCAAGGTTCAAGTTCTTGCATGTTTCAGACTGCATTAGTTCAGCCTGCCCTAAATCAAACACCTTGTAAATGAGTAGGCAGTCCATGTGTACCAGAGCTCTGAGAAACTGCTTACCTGGCCTATTTATTTATAGAACGATAATCACCAAGATGCCTGGCATTGCTCCCACCCATGTTTGCAGTACAGTGTTGAGCTGACTTGCTCGTGCTTGCAGTCCTTGGCATAGAAGGGCAAAACGTTTTTAGGGAGGGAACACTTTTCCTCCAGCCTTT